CCGCAGCCCTTCCCTGCCCTCTCCCTGCCGCGGAACTTTCGTAGTAGCTTATTAGCGAGGATGGGGGCAGAGGGGGGCTTCGCTTATTTAGGTGGCTAACGCCTGGGACGCGGGGCGGGTGGGTGAGGCACCTGGTGTGCTCCCCAGGGAAGGGTCAGTGAGGCCTCAGGTGAGTCCGGAGAAGTGGGCAAATGTTTCCTTCCTTTCACATGTGCCTAAGCAAAGACAAAAAAAAACAACCCACAAACAAACCAAAACGATTCTGATAAAAGAGCCTTCATACGCTGAGTGATAGATGCAAATAGGATACAAAAAAAGAAAACCAGGAGGATTCTGTTTCTCTCCTTCCTCTTTCCCCAACTGTATATGCTTTAAACAAAACAAACTTCCACCAAGCCAGAATGTTGCCTTTTTCAAGAAGCTAAAATAGGAGTTGCACAGCCATTGTAAGAAGTGTATCACAGTTTTGATTATCAGTAGTTTTATTATCAGCAATAATACATGGTAATAGTTGTGCCTTGAAGATCCAGGTGAAGCAGCTGCATCCCGATAGGGATGTGTGTGTGCAGATAGACACACGGAGATGTTTGCAGGTATCTTTCTGCTACTCGGTCTGTGTTTCAGATCTGGAAATGATGCGTAAGGTGCTCAGCCCTGCATCACCCTGAGAATTCAGAGTAAGATCAGTAGGTGTCACTGTCACTTACTAGTCTGCAACCTGACTGCTTTTTCAGGACCTTATTCGCTTCAGATGAAATTAATATGATAGCACAATCAGTGCAGAACGGGTGAGTTGCTCTGACAGATCTCATCCACGTAAATGAACAGCAGTTTTGATTTTTTTTTTTTTCTTTACTTTGCAGATAGCTTTCTGTCACCTGAATTCTAAATGCAGGGAGTCATTGCTCTGAGTTCTTTTGAAAATCACATCTTTAGTTCCAGAGATGTTTTGCCAGCATTATGGTAAAAGGATTAATATTTTTATGTTACCCTGCGGAATGATCAGGTTCTGTCAAACAAGTTGAATTATCTCGTCACACTTCACATAAATCACTGTTTATAAAAATAAGGTAGCGTTTCATGGTTTTGACTTTTGTAGAAATTGGGATCTCCAAAGAAGAGGCACTGGAAGCATTACAGGTTGTGAGGCAGGAATGTCATGGGGATGCAACAAGGACTGCTGGGGGATCAGGCGCCACCAGAAAGTGCACAGCCCTGGAACTTCTGGAAGAAGAGCAAGCCCAGGGCTTCATCATCACCTTTTGTTCAGCACTGGACAATATTCTGGGAGGTGGTGTGCAACTAACAAAAATCACGGAGATCTGTGGAGCGCCTGGTGTTGGGAAAACACAGCTATGGTATTTTATTTTGAGACTACTTTTGTGTGACTGAGAGTCACTTTTCTTTGTTTAGTTTAACTACTTAGACTGCATTTTTCTCGTTGTCATGACTCCCAATCTCTGATTCTTCTACGGCATTATAAATATAATCATGATAATGGCTGTATTGCTGTATTCCACAGCAGAAATGTCACTTTAGGGAGGGGAGAGCTTTGTGATGTAAATATTTATCTTTTTTTCTGTTTCCCGTGGCAGTATGCAGTTGGCAGTAGACGTGCAGATCCCAGAATGCTTTGGGGGCGTAGCGGGAGAAGCCGTGTTCATTGATACTGAAGGAAGTTTTATGGTAGACAGAGTAGTGGAGATTGCCACTGCCTGTGTGCGGCATTGCCAGCTTATTGCTGAAGCTCATCAAGAAGAAGGTACGCTGCTAAGTTGTTTCCTTCTGCCTAGCAGGCTAGGATTTGAGTGAAACCCGTGTCTCGTAGGCTGCAGTTTTACACTTTGGGGATTTCAGCAGCAGTGCTGGCTTCGGGAGTTCTTGCTGCCAGCATTTTATTTCCACCTGTATGTATCATACCCTGAACTGCCTCAGTATGTGAAGCCATGCTGCAGACTGAGCTGATCTACTTCAAGAATAATTATTTTTCCACATGATGATTTGTGGGGTTTTTTAGGTATGTGGGGGGTTTGGCTTTTTCTTTTCTTTTTTTTTTTAGCACTTTAATGATTGAAAACCCAAACACAGTTCTGTCAGCAAAACTGAGGGATAATGTGCTGTGACGCAGGGACAGGAAGAGCAGCTGGGGAAAGGGAAGAGGAATGGCAGAATTTCTTAAGGCAGTGTTGCTGCTGAAGCCCCATATTGTAAAACTGTAGCTGGAATTCAGCTTTTGGATAAGGTCAACATAGCCAGGTTGCATTTAATAAAGAGTTTTATTCTTTAGGCCGTAAGTGTGTTGGGGATGCTGACATAACTTCTGTGTAACTCTTAGAGTAATTTTATGCAGCAAACTTCTGTTTGAACAGAGGTAAAAGGACAGCATCTTAAATGAGCTACTGCCTGGACATTAAACAGTGGATGATTAATAGTTACTGTTGTCCTCTGATGGTGTTCTGGCTTGAAAATTATTTACTGGAAAAGTTCTTTTTTCAGAAACAAATTTTTCATTTTTGGAGCACTCCCTTGGAGGCTCCGGTGTATCTATGTGCAAATGCTGAGATAGCATCTGCTCACCACTTTCTTGACTTTCAAGCCAGATGGAAGGTGTGTTCCTCACACTCTTTACCTTGACTGTTTCTGTTCCTGGGGGTTTTGCTGTTACTAGATGCAGAAGGCATAGTTTGGTAGAATGATGCAGTATGCTAGCAGACTTCTGACTCATTTACTCATCTCTTTATTTGTTCTCAGATAATCTGAAAGCTTTGGAGACTTTCTCTCTTGAAAGTATCCTTTCTCACATATATTACTTCCGTTGCCGTGACTACGTAGAGCTTCTTGCACAGGTCTACCTCCTCCCAGACTTTCTTTCAGAGCATTCAAAGGTAAGGGTTACTGCAGACTTATCAGAAGGTATCACTCATCTTCACACTAAAGATTTTCAAGGATGTTCATCTGTTACAGTAAGAGTAACATGAGTAACACCTTGGTACCTCATCAACTTGGCAGTAATATATTGGCCGATGCCAGACTACAAATGTAAAGCTTGCTTGCTTTTTTTATTCCCATCTCAATTACTCTTGAGAGTAATTTGCTTTTGTTACCACTGCTGCCATCATCCCGAATTTCCACCTTGAGGCAAGGATACTGGATCTATGCTGCCACATGTTGTTACATGTCTATGAGCGCTGCGTTGTGAATCGTCACCAAACTGCTTTACAAACATGTCTCCAAGCCAGGCGTGTGTGTGATGCCCATAATGCGGGGGGATCAGAAAGGCTTAGGGCCATTTGTTTTGTCCTAGAAGATCACTGAGGACCAGAAGCATCCTGGCACCATCTTGGCATCCAGAAAGTGACTCTTCTCCTTCTTTCCAACACATCTTCTGTTGCTACAAGCAACCAGAGCCTGCAGCTTGACTCTTGGGTGGACTACAGCCAAAAAGTTTCCTAGTACCTAGTGTCTTAGTGAAATGCTATTGTAGGGCAGATTTTCATCACCTCCTGTCCAGATTTCTAGATTGTGCACAGCAGATCACTCCCTAATAGGATCTGGGGAACATGACTTGTGCCTCATTCTAACAGAGCACAAATCAGTGTTGTTGAGTTAGGTTGTCTTTTGTGTATCACTCCAGTTTTTGGAAGCTGCTATGTTCTTGAAAGCGCAGATGGAAGTCTTACTTTTGCTTAGCGTAGTCTGGTATTTCCCTTTCCCTGCCAGGTACTAACGGTGCCCTGTTGTGTTTGCTCTTGTGGAAAGTACATGGCTTCATTAGCACAGTTACATTGGGCTGCAGTTCTCTGGTACCATCTGTGCTGATTATCTGTGCTTGGCCTGGAGCCTGAAATACTGAAGGTTGCAGGAGAACCGTAAGACCTTCTGGTGATTCCTTGGACAGGCTATAAGTGACTTGACAGATTGCTTATTGCAGTCCAGTTCTCATTAAAATTAGTCTGATCCCTCTGTGCAGACCTGGAGCTGAGACGGGGACCACAGGAAACCTCCAGGTTTTAGGGTTTTTTTGAGAGAGATATAGTCATAGACAGTGTCATTTGGAAATATTAATTGGTTTGAGATCTTGTTAACAATATGAGAAAGAACAGTAATATGAAAAAGACCATGTTAGAAAATATTCTTGTCATAACAAACCTAATTCCTTAAGGTCTAGTAGAGACAAACTAACACGGGGAAGGCATGTGTCATCAAGCTTTCCCTATATAGCCTAATCTTGAATACTTTTTCTACTTGTTTGCTCTTTTGTAATAAATGCAACTGGGAGAAAGCAAACTAAATTACATCTTACCTGGACATATTCATCCGATAGGCAAGTTACATAACTATATATATTCCTTTCTGGCATGAGTCATGTTTATACTGTTAAACTGATTGTTCTTAAAGTCAAAAAAATATGCATGAGGAAGATGTACAGGCTCACAGAAGAGAATTTGCAGGAAGGAGGAAAAATGAGAAAAGAGAACAATGTCTTCTTTTAATCCTAACTACTTAATCTTTCAAATTATGATTTATTTGTTTTCAGTTGGAGGCCCAGGGCTGTTTCACAAGGATGTTTGCTGCAGGCTTGTATGTTCCAGTCCCAAAGTGACTTCTCAGTAACGAGTTAAATCAATAATACAGAAAATCAGTTTTCTTGTGTTGTTTTCAGTTTGTTATCTTGTGCATTAATGCAGGAACTTGTAGATACCTAGGATTTGAGTGACATGTGAACATGCAGACGCTGTAAGACTATCTGTCTCCCTTCTGTATTTCAGACAAACTTGGGTCATCAAAACAGCTACAACAAATGAAGTTAGAATAAATCAAAATCCCAGACTAATGTTTGTATAGTGTCTTGAGGGTGATGAGCCAGCAGTGACATTGTGCTCTAGCTCCAGCTAATGATTGCAACAAAAGAAATAATTCACCAAAGCAAACACCTTCAGGCAAGATAGATACTCAGCTCCATTGCACAGTGTCTGGAATATCTTTGAGCAGCTCTTAAAAATCCCAGTTTCTAAGATAGATCACTGATACGAGCCTTAGAAGCAGATGAGTTAACAGTGACTACAGACAGCACGTATTCTAATTTTGGTTTGGATTTAATTTTTGAGGGAGAAAGTGAAATAAATTAGTGTTCATGGAGAGTTGATTGAAGTACAATTCTGATGTTTAATGATATTTTTTCCCCCAGCTTCCCTTGTACAAGGCTTTAAGTCCAGCTTTGTTATTTTGTATTCTGTACCAGGTGCTGCAGGGATCAGTCAGCTAGCTCTAAGTGCGTGAGCTCTGAAACTGGGAACAGTCAGAAGGGCAGCTCTGTGCTGAGTTAACTAACGGGAGAGCTTAGTGCAGCATTTTGTTTAAAGTAGCGCAGCTATGGTCTGAGCTGGGATCTGTGCACAGTGCAGTACTGCTCTAAGCAAGCGTACTGCTGCGTTTGGAGCTGGAGGCTCTTTACCCTCCACTCCTGTGGGGTGCTGATCGTCTCCTGGAGAGAGAGGGAGACTGCCTGTGATGCAGTTGTGCACGTATGAGTGAGAAATTAAAGTTTGTCATCTATAAAACATTCCAGTGCACTTAGAAAGAAGTCTTACTGCTTTTTGTCATTTCTCTGTAGGATAGTAATGGTAGTTTTTCCTTCTGCATTTAGGTCCGGCTGGTGGTGGTTGATGGAATTGCATTTCCTTTTCGCCATGATTTCGAGGACCTCTCGCTCCGAACAAGGCTTTTGAACGGTCTGGCACAACAGCTGATCATCATAGCAAACGATCATAAATCAGCGGTAAGGCTGTGGCAGGTTTAAATCACAAAAGATGCTACTTTGGAATAAATACATTGCAAAGAATTAAGCAGATGTCTGTAAACAGCAAAATAAAACTGCTAGAATGTCCTCTACATTAGTGCTTGCCAAGTTGGCTAGTAAATATAGATGGATCACACAGGCAAATCTGTTTAGGTAAAAAATTCCTAGACTTGCCAAAATTAAGTAAAATTTGCATTAAAAGCATCCCATGGATCTTAATTAAATGGTAGGGTATCAATTTGTCATGCTGTTTCACATCATCTTCTTTAATGATTTAGTTAGACAAGGAATGCTCCTTTGGTGACTTCTACCTACGAAGTGTGCACATTAAAACACATCAGAGTATTTAGCAGTTCCAACATAACTTTCCACTCTTCGTTTAAAAATAAACGACAGCCTTAGTGGTGGAACTGTTCTTAGGGAGGAAAACCACTTTATCTGCTGGTTTGGCTTGCTCTTCTGGCATCCATGGAAACCCATAGCTTCCTTCCTGGGCATTGTTTCTACATCATTTACGCCAATATGGAGGCCAGCAAATCTGCAGCCACGTAGCCAGCAGATGGCACTCAGAAGCTACATCTGTTCCAGAAGTTGTTTTGGCAAGTTTTTTACAGCACAGAAAAGCATTGTTCAGGAATTGGAGCTTAAACAGTCTCAAAATGGTGCTTGTGCCTGTAACTGTTTCCAGGTGATTCGCAACCTTGTCACCCACAACTCTCTTGTTCAGTTGGCTTTTGTTCCTAATGGCTAAAAATAAGCCTCCCCTTGTGTTTCCTCTGATAGCTGCAGGAAGGGAAGGAGTGCAGCCCTACATTCCGCCAGGGTTAGGCAGTTGGCCTTGCTGCTCAGAACATTCCCTCTCTCTCACCCTGTCATGAATTGTGAAGCTTCTTCCTGCTGCTGTGGGTACCAAGGGAGATGAATGTTCTATGACTGCTGGATTTGCAGAGCCTCCAGTTTGCTGAGCACTTTCGCTCATAAATTTAGGACCTGGTGACCTTGAACGAGAGCAGATGTCATCATATAGTCTTTCTACCTGTGGTCAAGGGAAACATCTATAACTTATTTCCATTGAACAAGTGAGCGGTTTGGTACAAACGCTTGCTAAAGAAGCCATCAGTCAGAGAGCTTCAGCAGTCGTTTAGCTCAGGGTGGCCCTCTCGTTGGGTTTTGAGTTAGTTCCATGTAGTTCCAAGCAGTCTAAATTCACCTTGCGTGCCAGAGATGCCTGTTGGGCAGCAAAGCCAGGCAGCCTGAATGCTCTGATCTAAGTTCCTCTGGTTTCTAAAGGTGAATTCCGTGGGTTGTGCTAGGATGTCCAGAGCAGCCCTTCTCCAGCAGTGAGATGGGGAGCCTGCCTGGGGCTGTTACAGTCCATATGCGATGAGTTACCTCTCTCAGATAAGCAGTGTATGTCCTGAGGCTTCCGGCTCTGTAAATGCCCTGCATGCTCAGCGGAACTGCCTGCTCTCGCACACTTTTCTAACTGTTCAAGCAAGAATCATACGAGTACGTCAAACAATGAAAACCCCTAGGGCTTAAGATAGGTACAATTTTTTATTTTTCATTTTTAATGAACTTTGCAATTAATATTCCTGGCTCTTTTCTGTCTCACCCACCCCCTCTTCTACCAGGGATCTAACCTAGACTGTCTGTGAACCTCCTACGAGTGATTCGTGCTGCGAAAACACTCCCCCGCTCTGTCTGTTCACTTTCATTCTGCTTTGTATTGTACCCACTTGTGCATTTTTAGACTACAAGGTGCAGATATTCTGTTAATCACTAGGCTTATGCATGTTTTGAGCAGCACCACCAAGTTCATTTATGCCACAGTGACTGAAATCTATCTCTGTAAAGAGGGCTGGTACAAGTCATGTGCATCTGAATACAGATCCAAACAGTATTTAGTACAAATACAGTGGAATGTATGAGTTGTGTAGAGTTTGCATTCCTTGAGAAGGGAGGAATTTAGGTTGAATGAAAGAAATCTACCTTCCATGCAAACTGAAAATATATTTTGCAGGGTTGTCTTATTTTGTTTTGACTATTGAGAAAAGATGAGGCACCTCTACAGTTTTTTCTTGTTAACACGGAAGCTTCATTGCAGTTGGCAAGAATTTTGCCTGAGTAACTAGTTTATTGCTAAGCTTTTTGAAAAATCCCTCTTTCCTCCCACGAGTATGCTTCTTTTCTGGAGATTTTCTTGTTTGCTTCTGTTTTCCTCTTTTAGGTAGTTCTGACAAACCAAATGACAACAAGGATTGGACAAAGCCAGTCCACATTGGTACCTGCTTTAGGTAGGTGTTTAGCTTGTGAGTTGAAAACTGATTCAGTCTTCAAATATATGACTTCCTTTCTTTTGACATTGTGTACAAAGAAAATGAAATTGTATGCTGAATTTCTGCAGTGTAGCAGAATCCATGGTGAAAATATTAGACCCATCTGGAACTGCTAGCGTTGTGGAACTCTACAGCAATGCTTATCTATGTCAGCATTGTGATTATAATTAGCAACTATCAAATTTTATTCTAAACTCAAACATGGTGTGCAGATTAGGATCCTGGTTAGATTTTTAAAAAGCGATTACAAATATTTTTAAAAGTCACGACATTTTTAGATGGCAGAAACACACAGTTTGAGAGCGTTGGTGGATTTTTTAATTTTTTTTTTCCTTTTTAAACCAAAATTTTTAATACTAAACTTGGTATTAGATCTATCAGTATTCCTTAAGATGACTGAATCACCCTTTATGGGGAAGCACTAAGAACTCTCTGAGTAAGTAGGTTTCGAGACGTGCAGCTAATGTATTGCAGCCTTCCCCTGAGGATCTTGGGCTGTGGAGTTACCTCTGTTCCAGCTGCAGCTGTGTCAGCTAAGGAGGCCACTACCCCTCCTGGAGGTCACTGCCTCATCCTATATGCTGGCTGAGCTGTTTATGTGATTGTCTCCCAATCCATTTCTGCCAAAAGTGGGCCAGGTAAGCTGGAGCTATTTAAATAATAAGTAAACCTCTGATAAATCATATAATTTAGACTGAAATTGGCGAGTGAATGATCATCAAAAAATGTCGGGGTGGACCTGGGGGCAGTAAATCTCTAGAAGGAATGTGGTGATGAACAGGTTAAAGCACTAAGAGAAGAACACAGCTTAATGGTTCCACACCTCAGACTGTGCTGCAGTTTTGTAAATTCCTTGAGAATCATTCACTGCCTTTCCAAAACAGTTGAAATTGTTTATTTTGCTATTACACTTGAACACATTCCATTAATTATTTGCAGAGTCATTTCATATTTGCTGCATAGCTGGAACTCTCTACCCATTGCTCTCTACAGTTACGATGTAGAGGGAAGTTCTGTGTGGGAACCTCAACTACAGCCTGCCCATAGTGAGTTTTTTTACAGGTTGCTCCATTTTGCCCCGTCGTGAGACTCTTCATGAGTCTTCATGCAGACTCTTCTGCTGCAGTCGCAGGGGAAAAGAGAACAGTTCTTCTGAAGCAGAGATTTTGTCAAATTAGGAAGAAGCTCAGCATTTAAATCTCATTTTGGGTTGTAACTTTGTATTATGATGGGCTTAAAGGGCACAGATTCTCTGTCCACAGCTTCAGTTCCTTTTGAACTAAGTAATGATTCCCTTGTTCTGGAGGGGGGGAGAAGGGGACAGTCCAAAGGCAAAGATGTTCTCGGTGTCTGTACAGGCATCGAACCATTTGGCACAGATATGAGATTAAATGAACAAATGCAAACCATCTCCTTTGAGAATGTGAAGAATGTGGAATTTTGACCTGTGCATGCAGATAGAGACCCAGCTTCCAGTATCTGACCCCTTTTGTTGTTTTTGCCTCTTGCTCTCTGATATATTATTTTTGGCAGCTTTTCTGGCTACAAATTCAATTAAAGCTAATAGATTCTGTCTTTTTTCAATAACCAGTGGTGTTTGAGAGCTCTTGTGTTTATTGAGTCATAGGGACAGTGAAGAATGTGAAGACATTCAGAGTAGGTTATAATTCAAAGATATCATGTATTTTCTTGTGCATATTTTCTTTTATGAACATTTCATTTGACATAACCTCTTATTGACCATAAACCGATGGCGACTCTCACCAGAGTGTGTGTGTAACAGCAGAGGACTGTTAAACTGAGCAGTGTACTCTTGCCAAAATGAAACTTTGTACCAGTTGGTAAAATGTTTAAGCTAACATTGCCCTCATCCTACACAGCAATATCTCAAGTTGAGCATTTCACAATGGTACAAAGATGTTTTCCCTTTGATGGAATCTATTCCATAGACTCAGTGCAAGTGTGGAGCTGGTGGATTACAAGGTGCTTTTTACGACCCACTCTGAGGGAATCCTGTTTCAACAGCCTCCTCCTAAAGACTAAAGAACCTCCGTGGTTGGTTGTAGCCAAAGAAACTATTGGGGGAGGATGCAGCAGCAAAGCCCCAAGTAAAATCAATCCTATTGCGTCCCCTAAATAGGTTTTTTCCCCTGTTGATTGCTAAGCTGCAGAAACAGCCTTTTCTAAGATTTCAGAAGAGCATTAATCTCTAAACCCTTATTCAGCTTCTTAGCAGAAGGGAATTTCTTAATTATGGGGAAAAAAAAAAAAGCACAGATGCTGCAAGGTATTAAGTCAAGAGCTTTATGAAGGGGACAGCTTCTTTCCCACTAGTGATAGCTAAACTGGGTGTTCCTAGACATTTCTACTGGATATATTTAGAAAGGAGGTCAAATATTAATCTAAAGCCAGTTTAATTCAGAAATATCTCTTTTTACAGTAGCATTTTTCTCTCATATTCAATACAGTTGGAAACATTCTGGTGTGGAATCTGTACCCATTATAAAATGTGTTTTGATCTCTGACTCGGAACTGTATCTGATAGCCAAAATCTTTAATCTCAATTTAGATATAGTGGAGCGCAGTCTGGCAAGATGCCTAGAGGGTCTAGGTCTCCATTACAGCTGAATCATTTGTTTTCTTTGTGCTATAACAAATACCAGAGCACACGAGGCATGTGGGGCTGGTGACATGATGGAGACCAACACGTGATTCAGAAGTTACTGGGCTGCGTGGAGGTGAATAGGAGAGGCTTCCAGCAGCACTTAATCAAAATGGCTGGTTTAAAATGCCATCCATCTTCGGGCTATTGACTGTCTCCTGGGATAAACAGAGGAAAACACCCAATAAAACTGCCTATAAATTGACTGATCCTGTGGTCAGGTGTGAACTGAAACAGTAGGACTGTTTCCCTTGAAATACGATAATGATCCAAACTTCTCTCTCTCTTCTCCACAACCCCCCCGCCCTTTGCTTTTGGTTGTGTTCTTCTGCATTTTGCTGTCAGAAGCAGAAGACTGCTTCAGGGGCCCTTAATACTTTAATAATCGTTGACTTTCTCCCAAAGCTTGTATCCCAAAGGGAGTGATGTTTGCTCATAATTATGCCTGAGAGACAGAATATCACAGTTTTGAAGTAGGATTTAGACATACTCGCTAGACTTCTTCAGTAGTAATTAGAAAAATCTTTTCTTCATGGTGCCTCTGTTTTCAAGATTTGTCTAGAACCTGTCCTTTATTAGGTGTATAGCTAAAATCTGTCTACATATATGGAAGTATCGCATCAAGCTTTCTGTAAAACACACTGTGAGTACAGAGGTTGTTCCTTGTCTCAGTACATTTGATAAACTAGTTGTGAAATCCTGGCACATATGAAGATGATGTGATTCATTACTGCAAGAAAGGTGTATATATTTTAATCATGGGGGTTTTTTTGGAAGATCAGTCTAATTTCAGTTCAGTTTACTGATGATGCTGCTGTTATAGGAGATAAATAAAATGGCCTGTCATTTTGTTCACCCAGGAGAAAGCTGGGGACATGCTGCTACTGTCCGTTTAATCTTTCACTGGGACAACAGTCAGAGGTAAGTGAAAATGTAGGCCAGGAAGGTACTGACAAATGGGACATTTGAGAATCTTTTTCAGACTGGCCCTAATGGCCAGGCAGGGATTTGAATTTGACTTTTGGCCTTGGTCTGCCCCGTCCCAGGCTACCAGGGCTCAGGAAGAGCTTTCTGGTTCAGCCTAAGATGGTGTGGGCTGAACTGTCATGCTCCTCCTCACCAGGGTCAACTTGCTGCAGTGCTGTGCTCAGATACAACCATTTAGGATCTGGTGGCTAAGTAGAAAGATTTTTTTTTTTTTCTACTATGTGCATTTTGCAGACAGGCAGTTGACTTTCTTTATTTCAGTCTTTTAGGCCCCAGTCAGTCCAAAGCCAAAGATGCCAAGGCAGGTTTTCCACCTAGGTAGTGATTCTCAGGACAGACTATAGGACTACTGGCCTCTGCGCCTCAGTGGGAGCCGTTGGACCTTTCTGGTTTTGAATGCAGCAGGGTGGTTCTCCAAAACCAGACAGCTGTGCAGATACCAAGTTGCAGTGACCTGCAGAGAGCAAGCTGTATTTACTCCCAGTGCAGAGCTGACATGTGGAGGATGATTTTAGATGCCCAAAGAAGTGAGGATGACCCTTCTAAAACCAGTATGAAGTTCTGTCTGTTGCAGTGAGATCTTTTCTAGAAGTTTCCTGGTTCTTTTTGCTCCTCTTCACTATACTGCAAGCTCACTTCTCTTTCCTGGGCAGTTAAATTTGTCTGGTATATATATCACAATGCAGCAATTTGAGATTAAGAAACCTTTCAATTCCCTAATCTTTTGCAAACAGCGAACAAAAATGCTGCTGGAATGTTGTTGTGCATAGTTTTGCTTGTCAAACTTGAAAGAAAAATGCAGCTCCACACATTCTCGTGGAGTTTTGTTTTTTAAATTCTAAGTTTGAAGGCAATGCAGAACGATTACAGCAGGCTGTTTAATTTGGAATTAAATTAACATCACTGATTAGTTAACAGCCTTTATAAGACAGAAGTTGCATCAACATAATGATTGCAGAGTGAAGAAAAGTTAATTTTATATATCAAAAGTAAAGAGCTTTTTTCTTCTGCAACACAGCTAGGAAGGTTGGGGATACAAGGTTCCAGAAAGCAAGCCAAAGATAGACAAATATGTTTTATTTACTGTTCTAAACACGCAGCTAATATGGAGCAGGGCCTGCAGAAGCATAGCAACTCCTGTTGTAAAAAGCAAATAGCTAGATTCTGTTGCATTTTTAGACAAACTACCTATACCTGATGATCCATCGCGTGTTTGCTTTTGTTTTTTATATATTATTGAGGCACAAAGATGACCGTTTGAGAATCAATTTGCCTCCCCCCCCGGAGTAGGAGAGAGTTGTGCTCAACACCTTTTTTGTTTGCATTTTAAGAAAGTGGCATTTGGAATTAATTCGTAATGAACATTGTTCCAAAAATGTGATCAAATATAGTGATGAAACAAGGCTAATTAATCATTCGTTCTTTTTACTAGGTCTATATTGTATTTGAGCTGGCAAGTCATGTAAGGATGGGAAATAAAACAAAGTTTAAATGACCTATATGAAAATACATACATAAGAATGCCAGTGGTCACCTAGCCCATGATTGTGGGAAAACTTAGGTGTGGTCATTTTGGAATTTTTCTCACTGTATTCACTAATCATAATTATCTGTTTTTTGTTTAACTAGGTTGGCAACATTGTACAAATCACCGAGTCAGAAGGAGTCAACCATACCATATCACATTACAGTTAGTATTTCTTTTGGGATGGAGATACAGAGATGGGAGCAAATTTTTGGCTGTAAAGGAATTTTTAGACACAGACAAACCTGAGAATGATATTTGCTTTCTTAGTGTTACCTTTCAGCTGCTTTCTGAAGGTAACCAGTAATACTGGGATGTCGCCAGGTTTACAAATATTTTGCACCTTTTCTCTTTAGAAAAATGACCCAGCATGTTGGTTCTCTTAGAGTTAAAACATTTTGATTTCCAGATCAAATTTACAGGCAGCCTGTCCCCATCTGTTCTTGTGCTAGTACTGCTTATTTTATCTGCCCTTGATGTTAACTTTTGGCCTGAGTGCAATTACAGAGAGCAGTCATGCACCCTCTGAGCCTTCATTCTGGGAGACTTGAACAAGCCAAGCTGTTTTCTCCCTTGTTGGGTAGGTCATTGTTTCCCGAGTGGCTCTTCTCTGCATCTGCTCCAGTTGAGTTTATCTTTTTAGGACAAGGGTGACCGGAATCATACATGGTATTGCAGAGGTCTCACCCATGCTTTGTGCCATATATATATTTCCACATCCCTGCTTTAAGTGCTTTGCCTGGTATAACCTAGGTTGTATTTATCTCTTCCATAGCTCCATCCTACTGGTGACCCTATGACCAGCCAATATATGGAGGTTTTTCTCTTCTGTCCCTATCATATGAGGAGCTTCCAGCTTATGGCTGGAGTCCTTATTCATGCCTAGTTAAATCCTGTGATTATTTTCTTTTGTGCAGTGCTTAGATACATATTAATGAGAAAACATACTGTCTAAGCTGTATTTAGGTTTTAAAAAAAGCCCACCACTCGACTCTTAGATCTTCAAATGTCAGATACATAGGTACATGCCATAACTATTTGCTGTGTGTCCTCATGGAAACACGTTGCCATAGCATTTTCTGCAGATACTAATGCTGCCATAAGATGAGATCTTCAAACTATTGAACAGAAATCAGGGTTTTTTGCACTCCTGAGTGTATTCACCTGGATAGAAGAAATACTACAAATCTGCATATTCTTAGTTCTGTAAAGACTGGAAGGGTAAGTGGGACTACAGCCCAAGGTTGTTTAGATCACGTGATGTGAGTATGCAGCCCTTTCTCTCCAGCTGACAAACAGATGGATTTTATCTTAAGACCGTTTAATTGCCTTTTCCTTTCAGTTTTATATGCATTATAAAACAGCTATGCTCTCTTCTTCTGTGTGAATGCAGAAGTCTTGAAATCTTGAAATACAGTCGAGAGTGTATCGTAACCAAAGATTAGTTAAAACTTAAGATTATCCCTGTGTTTTTTCCCTTAATCCTGTTGAGCTGCTTCAGCATATGGTTTCTGTAAGTAAAAAATGTATTATCCCTGTTTCTTTCATGAAATTGAGGTCTGATGGTAACAGTCTGCTGTTACCATTTCTCATTCCCATCTCCGTAGTTAAACTGGAAGATGTAAATACGTGTTCAGTGTTTCCAAGTCTGATATAGCACATCTATCTATAACCAGCATACAAAAAAAGATAATTAAAAAAATAAATTCTTCAAGCCTAGATCCTCAAAGATGATTAGGCTTATGCAAATGAGATACTTTGGTAGCAATGACAAACTGGCTGTTCAGCGCCTGTAGGCCGGTGGAAAAGCGTGTAATTTAGTGACAGAGCTTTAGGTTTTTTTCCAGCTGTGACCTTTCAAGCATATTGGCAAATCAGTCACCACTTTGAGCAAGTGTGGAAGCTGTGGAGCACCTAGCAAATGAAAGAGAGTTTGTTTCACAGGCTGATAAGGATTCATTCTTAAATGCAGAGTACAGAAATGTAAATCGATTTATGCAGGAGGGAGTAAGTAGATCATCTGATTCACCTAAATTTCCCCTGTAATGTGACCTGATTATTTTACCGTGAAAGACAGAGACCCAGCACCTATCTTCTGGGTAGGAATTGTCAGTATTTCCCTGAAGTGTGGAGAGTCTGCCAGACCAGCATTGAGAATACTGCTCAAGTAGTAAAGCCATCTATCTACCTTTGTCAGTCTCGATGCAGTCTGCGTTTGTAGACACCAGAAGATGTTAAAAGGAGCAGTTCAAAATGACCAGAGACTCTGCAGAGCTTTGTAGGTCCTTGGTTCCATTAGCCACATTCTCGCCATCTAAAAACCACCAATAATCTTCAGAAATATACACAAAATTCTTGTATTTTTGAGGTGCTGTGCCCAGAAGGTACATGCCTTTAACTAAATGCAAAACATCCATAGTAAGCAGCCTACTTTATCTTGTTCTGGCCTTTATAACCATTGGAATGCTTTCACTGGGAGTCTAGCATGCTGGATTAAGTGGATTCTTGGCTACAGATCCACCTTTGTGCCTAAGGGAAATGGCAGAGATTAGATGCAAGCAGCAGTGAAACACTAAACTTGAAGATTCCCCATTACGCTATTTAGAATAACACTTGAGTTGCTTATAATAGCAGAGGGACTGCACAAATTCTGCCCTTGTGGCACCTCTTGCTGTTTGTTCCTTTAAAATCATAGGCTGTGTGAGGTGAGGCGTTTAGAAATAGGAATACAGAGATGAGAAATTTAAGCTAAACGTTTTGATTGGGTTTGGTTTTGTTTTGGACTGATCTTGGTGTGGGACACACTGGCATTTTAGAAAAGTCACATGTCTGATAGTAATTCTACCTGCTTTTCACACTGCACCAACCTAAAATGTCAGCTTTCCTGAACTGCTCTCATCCCCACATTGCCTCTCTGTGAGCATTTAGGATCCCCCAAGCAATTTCTTTTTCTGATTAACCCCTTTTCCTCTGTAAGTCTGCACTGCATTGAGAGTATTCACTGAGCTGTCAGCAGTGCTCCCTGCACAGCATTTGTCTGGAGATGGGAAGACAGTTGCAGCTTCACATATCAGCTCAGTTTCTCCATCTGCATTGATAACGTGTTTAACTGATTTTCCAGATCTTTCGTATTGTAAAATCTTTAAAAATCATTAAATTGTGAGCTAAGGTAACAGAAAATACAAATGGCACTAAGCCAAATAGATCACTTTAAGCACTCTCCTGAGTAGCAGCATTTAGTTTTCACTTCTACATTTAGTTTTTGGCAGTTAAAGGTTCTTATCCCATTGTGTCCTATAAATTACTATGCTGGGACAGTCTTTGCAGTCTAGAAACTGATTCAGAAATGCTGTTCTCTTACAACGTCTCATTGATGTTTGCAGTTCGTTAAGTAGCTGCATGAAACAAAAATACCCTAGGTTTTAGAAATTCAGTTTTGTTTCTGAAAATGACTGAGGCAATTAAACCAGTCATCTCCTTGCTTCTGTAGGAGCCTGAATAAGGGCCGAAGGATTAGGCTTTTAGTTTATTTAAATAGGCAACATAAGTTAATTTACAGAAAAAGCAGTGCTTCACAGCCATAGGGGTTATTAGTGGTGAAATGAAAATGATAGCCCGGTTGGTGAAAATAAAATATCTTCAAAAAATAAAATGAGGAGACAGAGTTACTAGTTGGCATGTGTGGTTGAAAAGCTTGCAGTTCTGACCTTAGCGTGGTCTATAAACGTTCCATGGCCGCTCATCTAAAATAAATGACAGCATCATACCTTATTCTGATCTTCTGGGAACTAGTTACTCATGCTTTATATCCATAGAAGTGTTACCGCATGATTTTGCTTATATGTTACAGTCTCATGGCTTCCGAGATGTGCAGCCTCCAGCTGTCACTCAAAATGCAGAAGATACTGAAATGAACCCTCGCAAGCGGCCACGGAGAGAGGAGGAAAAGTAATAGCGATTCAGGAGTTGAATGTTAAAAAAATGTGTGCTACATGAGAACAGTTGCATACAGAACATGCAACCAAAGGTAGCCTGAGAGACTCTGCCTTAAATTCCTGCTCTGGACATTATTTTAACATCAGGACTGCAATATGCAAATTTATGTAGCAGGAGAATCCTTTGTGTGTGGCTTAATTTTATAATAAAAATCTGTATTTTCTGTAACAAGAGGCTGAATTCAGGTTTTTTGGGGGGAGACGGGGAGAATACAACTACTTCTTTGGGTAAAACAACAATGAAATGTGAGCATCTAACACAGTACAGTTAATGACACAGGTCTCGACCACTCATCAGCTTTTGCATGTATCTGAATTTTAACAAGGTTTCATGCAGCAGTCTGCTCACATGCCTCAGACCAGGGCAGAAGGCAGTGGAGCTGCTGATGGATGCTTTAAGATAAATACAAGCCCAAATGCTATGCCAGATGGGGGCATTAGCCCTTACCTGCTGCAAAGTCCTTGATCAAGGACAATCAAAGCACTGTTTTGAACTTCTCATTTATCTTGTAGTGGTAACAATAGAGATGAAAGACTAGGTCTGAGGGACAAAAGATTTAATCCAGCATGGTAATTTTATGTTCTTATCTTAGTAAGTAAGAATATTTTACCATCACTCAAGCTTGAACCAAGCTGCTGCATAGCCCTTAGCTTCCTTGTTCTTTTACCACAGCATTCAGGATGAAGATTCTGTAATCAGGATCTGTTTTGTTCGTGGCTTTAATGAAGAGGAAATCCAAGCTTCTTAGACACCAGCAATATATTAGCAGCTCCAGAATCTAAACCAAATGAAAGAATGAATGTACACTGAAAATACAGCAGGGATTTGTCCTCTTTTTATTAAGAGAAAACAAGTCGATAAGATTATTAGAGGAGAAGAAAGGTACTGCAGTGCAAAGCAGTAATTACTTCAATTATGAGAAGTGTTTGTCTGTACACATGCACACATATAACCCCTTTCTGGCATAGAGCTTGATAATGTTATAGCTGAGGAAGCTCAGGCAGCAGGCTAAATGGAGAATTCAAGTTGTGGGAGTCACTATCTTTAATTTTTAATTTAGTAACACTAAACTAACTCCCTTTGCCTTGAAACAAAATTCAGTGCTGAATCTGAGTCACAAAACCTCTCTATTCAAAAAGCTGCAAAAAAAAAAATAATAAAAAAAAAGAAGTGGCAGTGATTTTTGGATCATTAGGGTGTTTAGATGTAAATTACATAATAAAATATTAAAAGGAAAAGTATTCAATTGCCATGCAGCAAACTGGGCTGTGTCGGGATTTAAAATCTGAGTCAGGGGGAAGCTCTCAAGCAAGAATGACATAGAAGAAGAAAGGCAGAGGGATTTGTGACTCAGACAAACATTTCAACGCAGGAGACACAGGCAAACAAAAGGATCCTACTGCATGTGATGTCAGCAAGCAAATGCTCCGTTTGGGAATAATAGCTTCCTACGTATTGCAGTGCAGGAGGAGGGGGGAGCTAGCACAGTACACATGCCTACGTAGCCACAAGGAAAAACCATCCATTAAGAATGTTGTAGCAATATTTTGAGAAGCACTGCTGGTTAGTGGTGATAGCTGCTATCTAACATGTCTGATATTTATGGAAAAATCCATTTCTCTCTGTTTATTGTGTTCTGATTTAATATCCTCGACACGTTCTATGTGTGAGGAGAGTAAGGACATGTCTCCAATATACTATTAATTTCAGCTGACTGTGGGTTTTTATTTTGTTTGTAGTAGAGTAGCATCCAGAAGCCCCAGCTGAGATGCTGATCCTGTTATACCAAGATAAATTGTTTTGTCTGAGTAAATGTTAGAACTTCCAGTATTCCAGGTGTCATTATCAAAATAAAAAAAATTGTGTAGTTATTGGCTAGCAGTGGGAGTTGCAAAACATCCAAAGGAAGCACTGGAGGTTCTCTATGCTGGGATTTAAATTTTTTTTTCATATTGAAGCTATTACAAAAATCAGCTCTGCAGACCAGAACTAGAGAGAAGGATCTGTTGGCGGAGACAAAATTAGATTAAATGAGCCAGATTTCGTTCTCATCTGCTGGAGACAAGGAAGCTGTTCCAGGCTTAGAATTGCGTATATAGAAAGAATCTGACCGTTGCCTCACCAATAAATCTTCCGTGGCAAGTTGATATTTTCTTACATGTGCCTGAAATTCTCTTGCATTTCACAGCATCACTGCACAAGAGTGAGTGACATGAGAGAATTTTGTGACTGCACAAAACAGTAAGATTCTGACTAGATAACATCACAGCACTGAATCAAAAATAAATATAGGTTGGTTGATTCGCTGCTTAAGACCCAGTTTTCTGAAAGCCAAGAGCTCTAACGATCATGCTGAGTTTAGAATTATTCCATTTTGTAGGGATGACATTTACTTGTGGTGTAGGAACCTACTTCGTCACCACAACAAGAACACAGTATCTACCACAGGGCTTGGCAACAGGAAAACATTGTGGTCACAGTGTACTTCTTCTCAAGCCCAGAATCCTGCTTTGAAACTCTTTAGCTTGGACAGGGAAAATAACAATTTTTTTTTTTTTTTCCCCTGATTTTATGTGTTCTGCACCTTTTCCATTATGAAACACTGAGAAACCAACTAGCTTCCAACTCGACTAAATTTATGAAAACACAGAGAAGAAATAGCTTAACTGAAGGTAAGAAGGTGTAGCCAAGGTTCAGGTTATGCAATCAAACAGTCTGGTATTGAAGTCAATTACAAACTGGTTGACTAATGCGGAAGGAGATTCAGCTGCTAACCCAAATTTGAATACAGTGCTGAGGAAAGTACGTTTAAAATATAACATCTATTTTTCTGTTGAACGTCAGTCTGCCTTCAGTTATTTTGGGGGACTAAACTTAGATTTGTTCTGAAGTATTTCATGGATTAATGACAAAGGTGAAATCCTTACCGCCCGCTTTTTTTAACTCCACCCTTTTTCTGAACAAAAGAAAATATGTAAGTTGAAAGGACGAGTCATTGTGTCGCAGCTTCTCAGAAGAGATTGTCTGAGCATTACCATGCTCAGGATCATAATTATTTAGAAAGGCATATTAAGCTGTATTATACTGGTTTAACACATGCTAATTCTATATGAAATATATTTGATTCAGTTTTGAAGTACGGTTTGATGCTTTCTTTGCCCTAAGACAGAGTACCTTGAGGGAAACTGAGTAAATAGTGCGCTTACATTGCAGTAACACAAATATTATGACAGAGTACATAAGGGAAATAGTACTTCTTTTTACAGGATGAGAGCCAGGGAAGTTAAGCTGTGGTTTCTGAACCAGTTCAAGCACAACGGTGCTGCTAAGGGTGGGCACGCAGGAGCCTGGCCGTAGGGGAACATGAGCCCTCGGCTCTCAGGGCCACCGAGCAGCTGCCCAGCCCTCCTCCGCACCAGTGCTCCTGACTGGAGGCACCAGTACCCCTGACTGGAGACACCAGTGCCCGCTGCCAGGCTTCCCTCTGCCTGGCTCCCCAGGTTGCGGACGTACTCCGTGTCTTGTGGCTTCTAGCCATGGAGTCGTTTTGGATGATTAAGGTCGGGAGAGTTGGCTTCCCTTGGCTAGTGCAAGACTGCTGCATTAATGTTCTGTGCTGAAGAATGAAATCACCGGGAACTGGCCCCCTTCCCAGTACTGAATTTCACCCACAAATGCACCCACTGTTAAACTGTAAGCTACTGTCTTGCTTCCTACAAGCAAGAAAGATTCGCACAATATGCACTATTTATCAGAGAGCCTAAGCTCTACACAGTTTTAACTATATCTGTAGAAATAATAAAAGGTATTAAAAACAATATTTTGATCGCTGTACAAGCAGTAAAAATATTAGCTTACCTTCTGAAAGGATGCATAGAAAGTATGTATTTCACTAAGTCATTCTTCAAGAATTATAGCTAATACTGTTCATTTTATTATAAGAATTACTTGCCCTTAATTTAAATGGAGCCAGACAAGCATCAGGATATTAAAAAAAAAAAAAATCACATTTCAGTTTCAAACAATGAGAAAAGGGAATGTTTAAATATAAACTATCATGCAATGTACACAGGAAAATAAATCTACAGACCTCAATAAATGGTTCTACTTGGATTTGGATGCTTTTCTCAAAGCTTCCAAACATGCTGTTCGAATTCTTGCTCACTTAGGTATCTCACATCACGTTATTTTGGAGTTTTAAATCTATGAGATGTGTACCTTTAATACGCTAATTTATTTAGTGTGAAACGCTGCCATTTTAGCAACACAGCTACACTTATTTAGTGATTCTTTTCATATTATATATATGTTGCTAAAATAAAATGGCTTGGCCTACAGAACGCGTCTCCTTAGCATGAAAATTATGCCTATTAAGTAGAGCATGTCAATATGAGACTCTAACATAATTTGTAACACCTTTTTTTACTATATAAGCTTACTACACATTTGACTGTAAATGTTATGGAACACGATGTATCTCTAAAAGTCATTTATTCATTATTCTGTATAATTAGCACAAATTTCCGTGGCTAAATCATAGAATTTGAGACTGTTCAAAGAAGTTAGTATCAGCCGCAGACAGACTTTCAAGTCTGTGAATCCTACCATTCTATTTTATCTGTACTCTTATAGCACATATATTACAGTAATAATGGCCAGAGTCTGGACACAACGGTGGCTGGTTTCTGGTACTCGTTCAAGTGGCTCATTTTTACTTTTATTTTTTTTAAGAGACTTTTCTAAGTAGGTGACTGTATAATTCAAGGTCTTGTGGCTGGAGCAGGATATCACAGAATCAGGAATCTAATCTACAGTAAAACGATGAATAAGCCATTTAAAGTAAGTCTGTGGAAGAACCAATATAATTTTTTTAATCCCACTAGGCACCTACTTTAAGAAGCCTGGCTTAAACTTTGCTCTCATTTTATGATGAACTTCACCCTCCACCCCAAAAGGGCAGAATATGCACACACCATTAAATCCCTAGAACTGAGTGTAAATGGGATTTAAGCAGTACATCTTTTCATTTTGCCTTCTGTGAGCAGAAGCGAGCTTCAGGCTCAGCACTGCAGCAGTGCTACATTCCCCCGGTACGGTACTGCGGGACTTCAGCCTCAGATGGAATGTGCTGCAAAAACGGAAAGTACAGAGGAAGGGCCTGGCACAGTAACACTGCCAGCAAGCTCTGTTGTTTGCTGATATCCAGGAGGTCTGCGCCCCTCATCTCCATTTAGCAGTAAAAGGAAATTATGATCATGAAGAGTGACTGACTGCTGAAGTGGATCAACCTTAACATGAAGATACTGGGCCGCGGTGTGCTCCTGCCTGCAGGATGATCTCATGATTTGACAACATCCAGACCGCTTTACTAAGTGTTTATGTGGTCAGCTGTGTTTTGCTGAGGCAATCCCATGGGTGCTGATCTACAGGCACACTGCAATCAGTCAGTCAAAGGTTTTATGATGTAACACATTTTGTCTTTGTTAAGAGGAAACAAGGTTGT